CGTCCACCCGGAAATTTCTGTATCTTTGTAATGTAGGAGTCGTGAACTTTAAGGCCATTACAAGCTTGTAACGCGAACATCCACACGGAAATTTTTGGTAGGCGTTGAGAACTTTAAGGACACTACAACCTGGCTGAAAACCTGGGTTTGTGTGAGATCAAGTCTCTTCTGGCCCAACACCCCCTCTCGAGCCGAAAACCTGGGTTTGGGTGAGATCAGGGCTCTTCTGGCCCAAGCCCCCCCTCTCAGGCCGAAAACCTGGGGTTGAGTGAGATCCGGGCTCTTCTGGCCCAAACCACCCTTCTCGGATCGAAAACCGGCATTTGTGCCTCCCTGGAAGGCTCCAAAACAGGCGTGGCCGTTTGGGAACTTATTCTCACGAGCTGCGCAGCCCAGCCTCGCCCAGCCCAAATGGAGGAGGGGGTGGCCACGGTTCGTGGGGTGGGGGGTAGCCATCTTGGTGAGAATTTTCGGCCAGAGGTGGCCATCTTCGTGAGAATGGGGGTGGGGGGTGGCCATCTTGGTGAGAATGGGGTGGGGGGTGGCCATCTTCGTGAGAGAATGGTGTGGCCATCTTCGTGAGAATTTCCGGCCAGAGGTGGCCATCTTCGTGAGAATGGGGTGGGGGGTGGCCATCTTTGTGAGAATTTTGCCCCTGAAGCGGCCATCTTCGTGAGAATTTCCGGCCTGAGGTGGCCATCTTCGTGAGAAAGGGTGGGGGGGCAAATTCTCACGAAAAGATAATAGGGTTTTCATGCATATGATAAAGAGTGTTTAAAGATAAGGGGAGGATTTATGGTTTGGGGCTTGGGTTTCAGAATTTAGGGTGGGGGTTTAGGGTTGAGGCGTCTGGGGGCCCTAAACCGTAAACGCCGTAAACCCTAGATAATGGGGTTTCGAGAAGGCCGGCTATGAGTCGAACTCAATATACCTGCGATTTGCGCCTTAGGGTTCAGGATCTAACTCTGGATTTCGGGGTTCAGGGGTTTAGGGTTTAGGGTTTCGTGTAGGGTTTAGGGGGGCTTTATGGTGGGCTTACCTGGACCCCGAAAGCATGTAGAATAACAGCCGTTTATAGGTTTTGGGCTATTGATTTACTTACTTGTGCGGGCTTAGGTAAGGGTGCAATAGAGGATACAGGCAAGCTTGCTTTGAGGTTCTGTTTGGTTGCGCTCCAATGTAGCAATCACCACCCAGCAGCCAGATGGGATTTATGACTCAAGCTGCAAGCCATAAATCCAAGAGTGCCACAACGGGGTCAACCCGGAACTTTATAGTAACTGCTTTTGGGTTTCTGTGTTCGTGTTGGTCCAGATGGGAAAGTTGTTGGTTCAGCTGTAGTACGCCGTGCTATGTTTTGCGGTTGCCGTATACATTTCTCTTAAAGGAACCCAACAGTAAATCTTGAAGGAACCGGGTGAGCTCCACCTGTAGCGCTAAAAGCCTCCTTGTTTTGAAGAGTTGTATATAGGGAAACATGAATGCGACACCCTGAAAGTCAGGCTGTTTCTTGCTGCATGTAGAATAAGCCCCGAAACCCTAAACCCAAAAAACGTACACCGTCTGAGGACCCATATGCGATGCTTCAGTCCAGCTTCATTCAGCTGAAGGATCGGTGTAGGGAGTCGTGGGTTTAGGGCTTGGGGTTTTGAGTTCAGGGCTCCTTGAAGAATTCCTTTTAGGCTTCCCTCATTGGTTCCACACAGGTAAGATGCCAAAAAAATGTGGTTCAGATTTTTCAGTTTTGGGTTTGGCGGTTTCTGTCTGTACAGTGGCTGACAAAGCTATGAGTGGGGCGGAGATTTCAGAGTTGTCTTGAACATGGTTTGGGGGTGTTTTTTATCTAGTATAATTACATGTGCACTATGATAGCTAGAAAGGAAAATATTGCGGCATGTTGTTCAGTTCTTCAGACCTACATGCCTGTATTACGACGAGATACCGGATCTGGCTTTCGGAAAAAAGCTAGCTCCACCTGGAGCTGTGAACACCAGTAAGCTCCAAATCCTTCACTGCAGGCTCCAGTAAGTATTAAGCGGGTTTGGGTTTAGGGTTTAGGGTTTCGGGTTTCGGGTTTAGGGTTTCGGGTTTAGGGTTTAGGGTTTCGGGGATTATGGCATGGCTTATCCAGACTCCCTTCCATGATCTGACACATGGACGTCCCTTGGCTGAAGATATTGAAGAGGCCTTAATCATTTGAATAGGGTTTTGGGGCCATTCTACTGCAATTAGAAAAAGGAACACCCAACAAATTGTATTGGTGATTTTTTAGGCCCCTACATTAGGTTTTTTACTCAGGTTTTGTTGCCAAGATCCTTTGAGGGATCAAGGAGTCTGGCAAGACTTTCAGAGAGACTCTTAAATCCAGAGTTCTCAATCGGAAACCCCGAAATGCTATGGAGTTTGCAGAAGGTCACAGAAAAGCGCAGGACGTAAACAAAGCAGCACAAACTCAACCCGAAACCCGAAACCCTAAACGCTAAACCCCTAACCGCCATCAACAAAAGGCTCTGGAGGCGAACGCCGTCTCCTTCTTCCAGCGTACCTCCAGCAAGGCTCTCGTCACTTAAGGGTGTAGTGACGACTTGTGAAAGATCTTGTATGGGGTCTTGCGAACTGTTCATATATGTATGTATGTGTGTATATAT